CACCAAGCCTGCCTTTATTTGATCCAAAAGCAGCAATATTGTGATTTAGTTTTTTACTATTTAAAATAACTGCTTTTTATTTTAATATTTTAAAATGTAATGTATTCCTGTGATCAAAGCTACATTTTCAGCATCATTACTCCAGTCTTCAGTGTCACATGATCCTTCAGAAATCATTCTGCTGATTTGCTGTTTAAGAAACATTTTTTATTATTATTATCAATATTTAAAACAGTTGAGTACATTTTGTTTCAGGAATATTTGATGAATAAAAAGACCCAAAGATCAGCATTTATCTGAAATAAAAAGCTTTTGTAACATTATACGCTTATTACAGGTCCCGGGCAGTCGGGAAGACTGTAAGCAGTAATCAACTTAGCAGTAAATGAGAGAGACAAGAGTTACTGTCACGGTCCCCTTTGTTGTCTGAGGATGAGCTGCAGTCGTCACGGTAACTCAACTCTCTCAACTGACACCCAGAATTCAGAAAATGCAGCTGAACTCTTCAGTGTAAACTCATTATAATACATTTAAGTAATTAAAATAAGTGCTGTCAAACGATTAATCGCGATTAATCGCATCCAAAATACAAATTTTTGCTCACATAATACAGTATATGTGTGTACTGTGTATATTTATTATGTATATATAAATACAAACACTTGCATGTATATATTTAAGAAAATATGTAATGTTTATATATTTATATACAATATAAATTAGATTAATATAAATATATACATGTAAATATTCTCAAAATATATACTGTATGTGTCTGCTTTTATATATACGTAATACATATACACAGTACACAAACATATTATGTAAACAAAAACTTATTTTGGATGCGATTAATCGTTGGACAGCACTTATATATACATATAAATAGAAATAAACATGAATAAAAATTAAATATATACAAATAATTTAATTTGTGACCCAAACTATATGCAGGGTGGTCACACTCTCCCCAACAAAGAAGCTAATGCCTCCAAATATTGTTTAAATAACCGTATTAGTTTGTTGGTTCCTTTTTATCTTTCAATAGGCAAATATGGGGTAATTTAATGGTGTCAGTGTCCGGTACACTCTAAAAAATGCTGGGTTAAATACAACATTTTTTAGAGTGTATGGTATGAAAAGAGCAGGTATGTAGAATGATGGTATGTATGTTGGTGTTGGGGAAGTGTAGTATTGTGAATAACTGCTTGCTGGCATGGCTGGTGTCCCGTTAAACCCTAAAGTGTTAACTGATGTGTGTGTCTGTAATGGTGGCTGACCTAAATGTGAGTACGTGAGCCTCTGTGCTGGTCTTCGATGCCTTGTAGATCTATTGAAGGGGGATTTTGTGTAGTTGTGTTTGGGTTAGTTAGGACAACAGGAATGCCTCTGTCTTCATGGATGCTCTCTGGTACAAATGCCTCCTCATCTACAGGTAATTATTCTTCATCGGCTTGTGTTTCTGCAGGTAAGTATTCCTTATCTATGCTCTCTGGTACTGATGTCTTTGAGGTTGTGACTCACTATACTCGTGCCATGAGATAGGAAATGTTGGCGTTCCAGACCGTTTCAAGGAGTCCACTGCAGTAGTTAAAGCTTCTATTTGTACCCTCAGCTGCTGAATGGTCTTATCTTTTGTCGTCTCATCCACTCTCACCATTTCAGACTCAAACTGTGCGCTGTGTGCATGTACCACCGTATGGCATTGCCTCTCACTTTCATCACTTGTAATTCTTATTACATGCCTCAGCAGGGTTTCATCAGAGACATTGGCATCTAAGAGGAAAGATTAGAGTTCGTAGAAGAGGCCCATGGAACCTTTAAGATCTGAAGAGCATCATTACTCCAGTCTTCAGTGTCACATGATCCTTCAGAAATCATTCTGCTGATTTGCTGTTTAAGAAACATTTTTTATTATTATTATCAATATTTAAAACAGTTGAGTACATTTTGTTTCAGGAATATTTGATGAATAAAAAGACCCAAAGATCAGCATTTATCTGAAATAAAAAGCTTTTGTAACATTATACGCTTGTTACAGGTCCCGGGCAGTCGGGAAGACTGTAAGCAGTAATCAACTTAGCAGTAAATGAGAGAGACAAGAGTTACTGTCACGGTCCCCTTTGTTGTCTGAGGATGAGCTGCAGTCGTCACGGTAACTCAACTCTCTCAACTGACACCCAGAATTCAGAAAATGCAGCTGAACTCTTCAGTGTAAACTCATTATAATACATTTAAGTAATTAAAATAAGTGCTGTCAAACGATTAATCGCGATTAATCGCATCCAAAATACAAATTTTTGCTCACATAATACAGTATATGTGTGTACTGTGTATATTTATTATGTATATATAAATACAAACACTTGCATGTATATATTTAAGAAAATATGTAATGTTTATATATTTATATACAATATAAATTAGATTAATATAAATATATACATGTAAATATTCTCAAAATATATACTGTATGTGTCTGCTTTTATATATACGTAATACATATACACAGTACACAAACATATTATGTAAACAAAAACTTATTTTGGATGCGATTAATCGTTGGACAGCACTTATATATACATATAAATAGAAATAAACATGAATAAAAATTAAATATATACAAATAATTTAATTTGTGACCCAAACTATATGCAGGGTGGTCACACTCTCCCCAACAAAGAAGCTAATGCCTCCAAATATTGTTTAAATAACCGTATTAGTTTGTTGGTTCCTTTTTATCTTTCAATAGGCAAATATGGGGTAATTTAATGGTGTCAGTGTCCGGTACACTCTAAAAAATGCTGGGTTAAATACAACATTTTTTAGAGTGTATGGTATGAAAAGAGCAGGTATGTAGAATGATGGTATGTATGTTGGTGTTGGGGAAGTGTAGTATTGTGAATAACTGCTTGCTGGCATGGCTGGTGTCCCGTTAAACCCTAAAGTGTTAACTGATGTGTGTGTCTGTAATGGTGGCTGACCTAAATGTGAGTACGTGAGCCTCTGTGCTGGTCTTCGATGCCTTGTAGATCTATTGAAGGGGGATTTTGTGTAGTTGTGTTTGGGTTAGTTAGGACAACAGGAATGCCTCTGTCTTCATGGATGCTCTCTGGTACAAATGCCTCCTCATCTACAGGTAATTATTCTTCATCGGCTTGTGTTTCTGCAGGTAAGTATTCCTTATCTATGCTCTCTGGTACTGATGTCTTTGAGGTTGTGACTCACTATACTCGTGCCATGAGATAGGAAATGTTGGCGTTCCAGACCGTTTCAAGGAGTCCACTGCAGTAGTTAAAGCTTCTATTTGTACCCTCAGCTGCTGAATGGTCTTATCTTTTGTCGTCTCATCCACTCTCACCATTTCAGACTCAAACTGTGCGCTGTGTGCATGTACCACCGTATGGCATTGCCTCTCACTTTCATCACTTGTAATTCTTATTACATGCCTCAGCAGGGTTTCATCAGAGACATTGGCATCTAAGAGGAAAGATTAGAGTTCGTAGAAGAGGCCCATGGAACCTTTAAGATCTGAAGACTGTTTGTGTGGAAGAATGGGCCAAAATCACACCTGAGCGATGCATGCGACTAGTTTCTCCATACAGGAGGCGTCTCGAAGCTGTTATTACCAACAAAGGCTTTTGTACGAAGTATTAAATACATTTCAGCAAGCATGTTCAATACTTTTTCCCTGGGTCATTACATTTTATTACACAGAACTTAATTTCTGAACTTATTTGTATTGTTTTCTTTGTATGTGTGGATTACTTGGGTTGTTACCAACATCTGGTGAAAATTTCATGTCAACAGCACTTTTAGAAAAATGGTGATGTGTTCAATACTTATTTTACCCACTGTATATACATATAAATAGAAATAAACATAAATGAAAATGAAATATACAAAAATAATTTAATTTGTGACCCAAACTATATGTGGGGTGGTCACACACTATACCATTCAAAACTTGGAGCCAGTATAATTTTTTTTTTTTTTAAAGAAATTATAGAAACTAATATTTTTATTTAGCAAGGATGCTTTAAATTGATCAAAAGTGTTACAAAATGTTACAAAAGGTTTCAGATAAATGCTGTTCTTCTGAACGTTCTGTTAAAGAAACTTGAAAAAATTATACTCCGCTGTTTTCAACGTAATAATAATAACAATTGTTTGAGCAGCAAATCAGAATATTAGAATGATTTCTGAAGGATCATGTGACACTGGAGTAATGATGTTTAAAATTCAGCGTTGAGATTACAGGAATAAATTACATTTTAAAATATATTCATAGAAAACTGTTAAATAGTAAAAAAATATTTCAAACTTTTACTGTTTTTGCTGTACTTTGGATCAAATAAGTGCAGGCTTGGTGAGCAGATGAGAATTCTTTAAAAAACATTAATAATAATAATATTGCATTTTATTTGTAATGCGCTTTTCTTAAACCCAAAGTGCTACAGTAAAACTAAAACACAAAAAGAACAACACAAAAATACAAGAATTAATTAAAAACAACCTTAAATAAATGCATCTTAATCAAAATTTTAAAGTGATCCAGAGTTGGTGCATTTCTGTGCATTCCATAATTTGGGGGCTTTGAATGAAAAAGCTCTTTCCCCCATAGTCTTAAGTTTGCATGAGGGCTGATAAAGTAAAAGAGAACTGGCAGAGTGGAGAGAGCGAGAAGGAGTACATGAACTTATAAGAGAGCAAAGATACGCTGGTGCAGTCCCATGTAGTGCTTTGTATGTTAAAATTAGAATTTTAAAATCAATCCATTGAAAGCCAGTGTAACTGTGAAAGCACTGTAATGTGTTCCCGTGGAGTAAACACATGAGCAGCAGAATTTTGAATGCACTGGAAGGCCAGAAAAATCATTAAACATCTTACTGTTTAAAGACTTTTGACTGGTAGTGTATTTAAAAAAAAAAAAAAAAATGACAAAAGCACACAAAATTACTAAAACTAAAAGTGTGACTGAATACACGAAATATAAAATAAAATTCTAATTATTAACAAAAACTATAATGACACTCAATGACACTCAATTTACATTGACCTGAATGTAAACATTCAAATAATAATGAAAAACCCTAAAATGTAAAAAAAAAAAAAAAATAATGTAATAGTTTAATAATAATTAACTGCATTCTGTCATTTGATAAAAACGGATCTGATCATTGAAACCCCATGAACAGAATCTTTTGCAGCAACACAGGCGTATAATCACTTACTGTCATAGAATAGTAATATTTACTACAATGTGGGCTTAAAAACCTGAGAAAAGTCCGCCAAAAAAAGTCTATATTTTGCATTCTTTTCCCATTTAATAAAACATTAATTGTAACATAATAATAATAAATTAATTCTATTGTTTTAACAACAGCAACAGCCCCATTAATTCTACTACTACTAATAGTAACAACAACAACAGAAATTATTTATTTAAGAACGCTTCCTGGGTTAATGGCAGTAAGTAAACAGCAAAAAGTTTATCAGTTACATATTAACTGACACACCTTGAATCTTATCGATCGTGAAAACCTTCCTCATTGTGGAAACACAGCAGCGTCTGTCAACAGAGGGAGACCAAACTGATCTGAGAGCGGCTCCAGACCTGCTGTTTGTTTGCGTCAGACAGGAAGAGGAAGTGAGTGAGTGAGTGAGTGGAGGGAGATTAAAGCGAAAAGGATGGATACAGAGCCATATAACGCGATTTAACGCGCCTTTATTTCAATGAAATAGAGTTAAAGGCGATGGACGAGTTTCCCCAGCTAATGTGATCGTGATCTGGAAAACAGAGACTCGTTATTAACACGGTAAGACTTTATAAAGCTTTATAATCTAACATTAGCCAGCTAGCTGCACAAATTCATGATCATCATACTGTATCATAACAATTCACCTATGAAAAAAAATAAATCAGTAAAGGCGGCCCCAGCTGTTGGTTATTTTGTGATATGATACAAAATAATGTAAAGTGAGTTTTTGAATGTGATATATCACTTGTTTGGAGATGTAACACTTTATTTTATCTTTATGCGAGCCAATATGTCAGCACAGTCAATAGTATTACTTGTTCACTACTTAGTAGTTTATATTATACTCACTAATAAGTAAGAATATATGAATTTTGCTACTGTACCTTTAAGACTTATATGTAAACGAATGTGTCATTCATTAAGTTGATGTAGTTGCATAGTTAGTAAATCGGTATAACACTGAATTATTTCATTCACAAGTGCAAGAGAAATCCAGTTTTGTCTGTAACGTGTTTTCGTTTGTGTCACAGGGTTGGAGGCGTAGATTGAGGACGTTGGCCGCATGATGTTGGACCACGCCGATGTGAGTTTGACCCCGGATGAACGGGTGCGAGCCTTGACCAAGAAGGGCAGCGCGGTGGACATGAATGAGGCAGTGCCCCTCCGCCGATACTTCCGCTCGGGCATGGAGGTGATCCGCATGGCCCATGTGTACGCCGAGGAGGGCAACACAGAGCACGCCTTTGTCCTCTACAACAAATGCATCACGTAAGAAGACCTGAATGCCGCTCTAGCTCCTTCTGTTTTTCTGCATTTTAAACAGACACTTAACCGAAAAGGAAAGTTCTCCTCATTTACTGACCTTCATGTCATTCCAAACTTGTGACTTTCTTTATTACTTATTCTGAGACTTGAAAAATTTCTCAGTGTTTTTTTGCAAAAGAAAGAAATTAAAATGGGTTGGGAACAACATGGGAGTGAGTAAATTATGACATAATGTTCATTTTTGGGTGGAGTATCGCTTTAACTTTAATGGGAGTCTCCGTTATGTGTGTAGTGTTGGTAATATTCAGTTTTCTTATAACAGGTTTAACTCTGGTTCTTTTTAACCCACCAGGCTTTTTATTGAAAAGCTCCCCAAGCATCCAGAATATAAACTGTCTAATATTCCTGAGAAGAAGGAGAATTTAAGGGTAACGTAGTCTAGTGAACTCTAGATCGATAATCTCAAATTTTCATCATACCATGTTAGTTGTCTCAATTTTGCTGTTGTTTCTCACACAGAAGCTAAAGGAGACCGCTTTTCCTCAAGCAGAGCAGCTGAAGAAACATTTACTGAGGAGATATGAGAAAGAATATGCTGAGTTCATCAGCAAAAAGGTGAGACATGTTTTCCAAACATTGGCAAACCTTTTCATGGAATAAAAGCGAAACCGATGAAACAATTTTTTCACCTCATATTGTTTTTATGACAGTTTAAGACATTTTCCAAATTCTGAATTAATGCATTCAGATATTTGTTTTCCCCCAAATTCCAGTGATTTTATTGTAATTCCGTAATTCTAGGATATGCAATATATTTTTTTATTACCATGGAAATCCCCAGAGCCCCCCAATACCCAGCAGTTACCATAAAAAAGTTAAATTCTATATGTGTGTGTGTGTGTATAGTCAATTTTTTCACGATTTGTGAAAAAACTAAACTTTTTACACAAAACATACTATGTTACTTTAATGAATATCCAATGGGACTATTGAGTGTCACAATACAAAGAATTTATTTATTTTTATTTATTCATTTTACTACTATTTAATAAAAAAAGAAATAGTATTAGTCTAATATAGGGATGCAATGATTCACTCAATTCACAATGCAATATGATTCACAATACTAATTTCACAATATGATTTTCTCACAGTTTTTTAAATGAGATTTAAGACATAAATGAAAAGGTGTACTGTCATTTTATTATTGCTTGGACAAAATGCTGCACATTTCTTTGTGAAATAGAATATGCCAAATAATAAAACTAAATATTAATTTTTAAAACATAACACAAATCAAATAAATAACACAAATAAAACAAATCTCTTCATATAAACAAACTAAGGCTTTGCCTGTGCCCTTTCTATTTAAAATTAGAGGCAACCACTGTATTTTAATCACAATCCAAACAAAGACGCTGCATACATGCAGCATGAGCAGTTTTTAATCTAAATTAGGTTGTATAATTTTGAGATTTGAAGCTAAAACAGCAGATGGGCTGAATGAAAACGCAAATTCACTCTCTGACAGCAGGTGGCGCTTATTACAGCATTTCCTTGGTTACTGCTGTAAACAAAGCAGCTGCACCTATGAACACTACTCTAATATGCATTCTACCAAAGACTAGAATACCCAAGACATGTCCCTCGTATAGTTTTGAATGGGGAAAAATGCAACGCTTAATATGGCCACTCAATCAAACGAAGCCCCATTTTCTGAGCAAAAGAGCCAATCCCTAATCGGTAAAGTCAGCGCGTCACTGCAGCTGCCGTTAGAAGTCCTGGTTTCTATAGAAACAGTCAGCGTTCTGAGACGTGTGCCTAGGACTGCGCATGCGCACTGGCTGATCTAGCCTGAAAAATAAGCCTTTTTAAACGCTATTTGAGCAAAATAAACAACATTTATGATGCAGTTGTTGTCAGATTTCATTGGTGATTTCAAATATGAAATTTAATCGTAAGCGTGGCGAACAGTTTTGGAGAATTTGATGTTTCCCCGTGGATGAGGATGGGGATGACCATTCAAAGATGACCGCCGAGTGACATGACTTGCTTTAAAGGGACTTTGATTATACACAGACAAGATGAAAAGAAAATACCATCTAAACTTTTCTGAAGGCAGTCAGTTCCCCTCAGAGATACATTCATATAAACTCTGATTGTATCGCAATTCGTTTAACATCTCATCTGACTTGAATCGTCACATATTTGTATTGATTTTCAACTGGCTCGGGGGGCATCGTTACATCGCTAGTCTAATGCAGATTTTCCATATACATTATTGACATGTGTTTGGTGTGATTCATTTCAAAGTTAAAGATGCACATGGTTTTTTCACCTTGGTCAGTCTTGTGAGTGTGGCTCTGTCGTCTGCTAGCGTGCAGAAGATCAGGCGCTGGAGCGGGAGTTGTCTCGGCAGCGTGAGCTGGAGGCGGAGAGGCGGCGTGTGGCGGACATGCAGAGGAGGCAGCTGGAGCAGGAGCAGTTCAGCAGGTTTGAGGAGTTGATCCGGCAGCAGGACCGGCAGCATAAGAGTCAGCTCGTCCACGAGTTCAACACACCAGCGCCCCTCCAAGACGACACACTGCTCATTCCTGGGATCCAGGGTCCCCCTCTGCCCTACCTAGAGTCCCCCACTCCCCCTCAGAGTCCACAGTACCCCTCGGCTAATCACAGCGCTCCGTCAGCTTCCAGCCCGGCTGTACCCCCGACCTTTGACCGCTCACTTAAACCGGGTCACCTCAGTAACAACAGTACGGCTTGCCGTCAATCCTCAGCAAACTTAGAGCAGCCTCTAATTCTGTGTTTTCAGGTTATTACGGTGTTTCTCTTTGTGTTTCAGCTACATTGGTCGATGGTTTACGGCAGATTGCTGTTCCTGCTGAGCTTTGCGGCAAATTTCTGCGATTGGCCAATAACAACACCATAAGAGCAGTGGAAACCTGTGGGATACTCTGTGGGAGACTGGTATGACTTTGTGACATGATTTATCATTCCTCTATTATGATTTTGTACCATAGTTGAATGTTGCGAGTCGCCTAAATTTTGCCTGTTACCAGGCTCAATGTTATTCGCAAAAGGCTTGTCAGACCAAGATGAATGTTTGCCGTAAAAGATTTGCTGCGATAAAACATTTAAACTTGAATAAACAGCTGTTAAAGGCATAGTTCACCCCAAAACGAAAATTTGCTGGTAATTTACTCACGCTCAGGCTATCCAAGATGTTGGTGACTTTTTTCTTCAGTAGAACAGCAAAGAAAATGTTTGGCTGAAACCATGGTCTTTGGTGATTCATAATATGTAGGTCAGTGGCTACAAGCACTTTGAGAGTCAAAACAGCATATCAGGCAGCACAAAATTAATACCAGTTGCCCCTGATGATATATTGAGATCTTATGAAGTGAAACGATCAGTCTGTGCAAGAAACTGAGCATTATTTACAACATTATTACCTGTAATCCAGAGCCTCAGGCTACAGGAAAATCCAGTTCTTTTCCTTGAACTGGATCTTTCAGACAGTTTGCTTCTGGTTCACACAATTGTTTCACCAGTTAATTTACATAATCATGCAATGTCACGTATACCCAATAATGTAATGTATACCCAATTATGTCTAAAGCATATCCAATTATGTCTAAAGCATATAAAATGAATTAGTCTTAATAAACTCACCTTTTTACATAATGAGAAACCATAAAAACTGTCATTTCGCCACTTCATTCAAGTGCTCGGTTCATACATGCTCGTAACAGCAGCTTATCAGTTCTTCAGTCTAAACTGTTTCTTCAATTCAGTGACTTTTGGAGGAACTGGAGTGCTGAATGAGTTGGCAAAACCCGGCATCACAGGATCATACGCTGGTATTTCGGCTCATTTCGAGTCGGAGTGACTGTCAGGCGTCCGAAAGTGAGTTTTGATTGAGTAAACTGTAGATCTGTGCTGTTCGAGCTGCAAACTGTTTCAGACGGTTCAGTCCGATTTGGTGAACTGGTTCATCCAATAAATTTTTTTATTGGATTAATTGGAATTTTTTTTAACAACATTTACTCTATATAGAATCTAAAGTGTAACAATAGAAAGTAGCATAGAGAAGATGCATAGCAGTTTAGTACTTGTGAGACCTGTCACAGAAAGACTTGATATTTGCTACCCTAATAGATAGAAATCTGATAGATAGATAGATAGATAGATAGATAGATAGGTAGGTAGGTAGGTACAGTTTAATACAGTTCTTGGATAAGCTTTACCAATACAGTGCATTAAGACATCTGACTGGAGAGTGTTTGTGTGCCTGTTGCAGAACAGGAACGCATTCACAGTGACACATGTGATTGTGCCGAAGCAGTGTGGAGGTCCAGATTACTGTGACACAGAGAATGAAGAGGAGCTGTTTCTGGTGCAGGACCAGTACGACCTCATCACGCTGGGCTGGATACATGTGAGTCGCAACCTTACATCACACTTCTGCCTTCTCTTGCTATATAACTGATCTGAACCACATATATGCAATAGTATGTAATATTTAAAAATTTTGAAATGGTAATTTCCCTGAATGTCTGTCAGTACAGTGGAGACACTTCTGCCTTGTTATATTTATTGTGCTCGTCATGTTTATTGCCCGTTATATTTAATGTGCTCTTATGTCTGATCCCTGTTGTCATGAACACGTGTGTATACTTGTTTTGTCAGTGTCTTTGCACCTTGGTCCGTCAGAAACGACATTTTGTTCTTCTGTATACTGTGTATGTGGAAGAATGAAAATAAAGTTGTGTTGAGTTGAGTTGAGACATACAGTTGTCTTACTGTGGTCATCATTCAGATGTCGCTGTCGCTCTGCTCCACAGACTCACCCCACTCAAACAGCCTTCCTGTCCAGCGTTGACCTGCATACTCACTGCTCATACCAGATGATGCTGCCGGAGTCCATTGCCATCGTCTGCTCTCCCAAATTCAATGAGTAAGTCCAGTCATGAGAAAGATGAAAACAGTGACGGCACAAGTGAGATGCAATGGCCCCAAAAACTATCCGGACACTTAAAGGGTAGTTCACCCAAAAATCAACATTCTGTCATTAATTACTCACCCTCATACCGTTCCAAACTCGTAAGACCTTTGTTCATCTTCAGAACACAAATTAAGATATTTTTGATGAAATCCGAGAGCTTTCTGGCCCTATATATACGGTTGAACTATATTTTGTTGGATCAGATCTGCCTCTTTCAAAAGCCTTTCCACAAATCCCACGATGTCGGTTCCTTCGCTTCCTTCTTTAATCCGGTAGATCCGTATATTATGGCGCTTTTCCACTGCATGGTACGGCTCGGTTTTCCACTGGGTACAGTACCTGGTACTTTTTTCAGTACCACC